AAAATATATGGTTAGCTGCAAAAATGGCGATACTGCTGGTGATATTGATATAGATGGTAATATGTTTGAACAGGTAAAGAAATTTAGGTATCTAGGTTCTACGATAACTAGAAAAAACGAAATTGAAGAAGAGATTAAGGTTAGACTGAAGGCGGGAAATGCTTGTTATTTTGCTGTGACAAAATTACTGAGTTCGCGCCTCTTGTCCCGGAACTTAAAAATTAGAATCTATAAAACAATTATCTTGCCTACAGTTCTTTACGGATGTGAAACTTGGCCGCTTACATTAAGGGATGAGCAGCGTCTTAAGGTTTTTGAAAATAAAGTATTGCGTAGAATATTCGGACCGAAGAAGGATGAGTTAACCAGAGAGTTCAGACGGTTACACAACACCGAATTGCGTGAGCTGTATCCGGGTAATATAATTGAGGTAATTTCATCGCAGCGAATCAAATGGGCTTGTAAAGTAGTTGGGCTTAGTAACGAGAGAATTCCTAAAAGGTTAATATTTGCTGTGCCGAATGGTAAGCGTCCGAGGGGTAGACCGAAGCGAAGGTGGGAAGATTGCATTAAAGCTGATCTGAAGGGACTGGGTTTGGACGGCGAACGGTGGAGGGAAGTGTGTAATAAGCTAGAGATGGGCAAAATTGTACTATCAGTAAAAAGTACAATTACAGAGGAATTTACTCAAATACTCGCCCGGTGCGAGTATCGAGTACTTCAATCACTACTCGACCTCATGATTGACGAGTACAAAAAGTCATCAGCTGTCCTCGTGAGTACTTTCTATTTTCAAATCTACTCAGCAATATTTTACTCTGAGTACTTTTCAAAGTAATCGAGTATTTCATTATAAAAATTACAGGAGTAGAATATTTAATATTTCTTCCATGTTTAAGTCCATTGTTATCTTATGGGGGTATAGTCTTTTAAAATAGTATCGATATTAATGTAAATCAATAAAAGAAAGAATTATTAAAACATTTCGGATTTAATCAACTTTGGGGACCATTATTTTTTTTCTACACCACTTGACTATTATGATAATGCTGTCGGATTTGAGATAGAGCCCCCGGGTCCCGACTTTTTGTAACTTTTCGGATTATATCGACATCAGCGTCAACTATTAGGTTTTGTTTTATGAAAATGATATCGAATTTGAGATTGGGCCGCACGGGCCCCAACTTTTTTTAACTTTTAGGATTAAATCGATATCAGGGTCCATTGTTATCTTATGAGGGTATAGTTTTTTAAAATAGTATCAATATTAATGTAAATCAATAAAATAAAGAATTATTAAAATATTTTGGATTTAATTAACTTTGGGGACCATTTTTTTTTTCTACACTACTTGACTTTTATGATAATGCTGTCGGGTCGATTATTAGGTTTTGGGGGGCGCTTTTTATGAAAATGATATCGAATTTGGGATTGGGGGCCCGGGCCTCGACTTTTTTTATCTCTTTGGATTAAATCGATATCAGGGTCGACTATTAGGTTTTGGGGGACGCTTTTTATGAAAATGATATAGAATTTGAGATGGGCCCCCCCCTGGCCTCGACTTTTTATAACTTTTCGGATTATATCGACATCAGGGTCAACTATTAGGTTTTGGGGGGCGCTTTTTATAAAAATGATATCGAATTTGAGATTGGGCCCCCCAGGCCTCGACTTTTTTTATCTTTTTGGATTAAATTGATATCAGGGTCGACTATTAGGTTTTAGGGGACGCTTTATATGAAAATGATATCAAATTTGGGATTGGGGACCCACCCGGGCCTCGACTTTTTTTTATCTCTTTGGATTAAATCGATATCAGGGTCGACTATTAGGTCTTGGGGGACGCTTTTTATGAAAATGATATCGAATTTGAGATGGGGCCCCCCCTGGCCTCGACTTTTTATAACTTTTCGGATTATATCAACATCAGGGTCAACTATTAGGTTTTGGGGGGCGCTTTTTATAAAAATGATATCGAATTTGCGATGGGGCTCCCGGGCCTCGACTTTTTATAACTTTTTGGATTAAATCGATATCAAGGTCGTCTATTATGATTTGGGGGGGCGCTTTTTATGAAAATGATATCGAATTTGAGATTGGGCCCCCCCTCCCCCCGAGCCTGGAATTTTATTAACTTTTTGGATTAATTCGATATCAGGGTCAACTCTTATATTTCTACGAATCATTTTCATACATTTTGAGAAGGTTACCCCGGGGCCCGACTTAACCTTTAGGATTTAATCGATATCAATGTTGATTATGAGGTTTTGGGGGACACTTTTTATGAAAATGATGTCGGATTTTTTTTTAATAAAATCCGTCCCTTAAAACATAATAGATGTTGATATCGACTAATTCCAAAAAGTGAATCCACTGGGTGCAATCTCAAATCCGACAGTATTTTCATAAAAAGTGCACCCCAAAACCTAATAGTCGAAACTGATATCGATTTAATCCAAAAAGTTAAAAAAAGTCGGTGCCCGGGGGGCCTAATCTCAAATTCGATATCATTTTCATAAAAAGCGCCCCCAAAACATAATAGTGAACCCTGATATCGATTTAATTCAAAAAGTTAAAAAAAGTTGGGGTCCGGGGGGCCCAATCTCATATTCGATATCATTTTCATAAAAAGCGCACCCCAAAACATAATACATAACACAAAACAATAATAAAAACATAATAGTCGACCTTGATATCGATTTAATCTTTTTGTAGGAATTTGGCTGAGTGCTTTCTGTAATTCGATATGACACCGCGAGTATTTTCTGTACTTAACTAAATCATGATTGACGCTGAGTGAGTACTCTCAGTACAGAAACTACTCGATACTTTTTCCTAATAAAATTACTCAAATCATGAAAGTAATCGAGTACTGCCCATCTCTATAATAAGCGATTGGTGGTGACGGGGCATCGAACCTTCAGGTTGTTATACAAGCTATTTTTGTTGTTGATAGAGATATGTTCTTGATGCTGTTATATTTATCATGAATGTATTTTTCAATTGCTTTGTATGTTTTGTATGTAATATTTTGCCTTTGGGCTAAGGAACGGGTTGGGTCCAGTAGCTTAATATCTGTGCTAGTTGACGGTGCTGAGGCTGTCGGTGTCTTCCTGGTCTAAGGAATCGAGGCTCTATTTTAAAAGTAGGTTGAATTGAAACAATTGTTATTTGAAACATATGGAAGCATAATTGTGTACCAATGGAGCTATTGGTTGTTCTATCTTTGAAGAGGATCCCGTTGTAAACTTAAAAAAAAACAACAAAAAAAAACAGGATCAAAACGATGATTAAACAGCAGGAGCATGAACATTTAGTAGTTTATTGAATAATTATCAAGTGACCTTATTCCCAATTAAATAATTATGTTAAAATATAATACTCAAAGGTCGATTGAAGAAATTTTGTAATATATATATATATATATATATATATATATATATATATATATATATATATACATATATATATTTATAACAGTTTTTAGAATATTGCAACGGGCTAAAATTTATATATAGATCTAAATTTATATATATGAGAGGATGAATATATATGTATATGAATGTGAATCGAATGAGGCAAGGATTGTTCTTTTTGACGTTATTAAAGACTTCTCTCACCTATATCACAGCAAAATGACAAATGTATATATATGTATATATATATATATATATATATATATATATATATATATATATATATATATATATATATATATATATATATATATATATATATACATATATATCAGTTTTTAGAATATTGCAACGGGCTAAAATTTATATATAGATCTAAATTTATATATATGAGAGGATGAATATATATGTATATGAATGTGAATCGAATGAGGCAAGGATTGTTCTTTTTGACGTTATTAAAGACTTCTCTCACCTATATCACAGCAAAATGACAAAAAACAAAACAAAACAAAGTAATAATCTCTTAGCCTATTTCTTTGTTTTTCAGAATTATAAAATATATGGATTTGTCTAATCAAGGCCTTTCATTTATTTATTTATACTGCAAGTTGAAATTAAGTATTAATTATTAATAAATTAATTATTAATTATTAAGTATTAAATAATTAAGTATTAATTATTAATAAATATAAGAAATTAAGTTATCGGTAAGGTCAAAAGAGTCATAAACTTGTTTATAAGTTGTGATGTTAAAAGTATTTAGCAAACTTATTAAGAAAACGTTCATTCAATAAAAGTTTAAAAGTTATTCTTATACTTTTATGATAAATGAAAAAAAAAAAAGCATAAGTTTAACTTAAACTTTTAAAAATAAAAGTTAACTCATATTTTCGACCCCTGGTTGAAATCCAATATCTATATATATATATATATATATATATATATATATATATATATATATATATATATAAAAGAATATATAAAATACATTTATATTAGCTTAATGATAATGTTTTCTTCAATTTTGCAATATTTCAACTCAATGATAAGTCTCTATTTAAAAAATAGGGCTGCAGATTCTATGATTGATTTTAAGAAAACTATGCAGTTATAGTAGTTTCCCAATAACAGTTAATGACCTAAATTAAAGTATACAGGAATAAGTTTTAACTTCTATTAGTTTCACCACTTTTTAAAATTTAGGTTTAAATAGCCAGGACAACCAGAGGTTTCCCTAAAAGAACATATTTGAAAGCATTTAAAAATGCCAACAATACACAAAAGTTTTTAAACGAACATTCTGCAACTAGAAATATCAACAGAAAAAAAAGATCACTCTCTAATAAACCGGCAAACATACTTTCAAGAAACTTAATACAGAATATGAAAGACAGACAAAGCTATGACAGCAATAGTTTCTATAAAATGTAATCAGAATTTTAACATTAATTTAATTTAATTTAACAATTAATTTAACTCTAAATAACAGACATAAAAAGTAAAAATTTAGATAATAATAGAACATACTAGACAAACATTAAAATCCATTTAAAAAAAAAATAGATATTATGGATCACCTACCTTCTGCTCAAATGAAGGTTCTTTGAAAAGTCCAAAAGGTCGACGGGGCAGTTCATGGGATGGAGGTGGACCAGCAAAGTCCAATTTACTTTTCCTCAATTCCTCAAGGCATCTTGCAAGACTTTCCATAGCTAAATCATCATCAACTTCAAACCTTTTTTCTAGATGAACCTGTAACATCATAAATAATCAATTGTTTTAACCGAACATAATTCTTAGCTATGGAATTAATAACAAGAAAGAAATAATTACAATAAAAGAAATTCAAGAAACAGAAAAAAAAAATTAGAATAATGCAAAAGACAATGTAAGTATTCCAGTCATAAAGTAGATTAGAAGCTATAACTCTGTAAAATCAAGAGTAGATAGGAGCCCTGTGTATGGAGGCACCAACAGTATCAGTATAGACAAAATTCTAACGAGCCTCATAATATTCAACTATTGGTAATTTCAAAGTTTTAGCATATTTTGTTTTTTTGCTTCCCCACTACCGAAGGTAGGGAAGCATTGTACTCATGCGATGCGAGAAGTTAAAAAAAATTTTGTGCTCAGAATCGAAAATTTCCATTTGTGTTTTACTTTCCATCAAGGATCAAATTTGGTTCAGTGTTTGTCTGTACAAATCAATGTAACGGACATACCATCTATTACCGTTCATCCGATATTCATGAAATTCTCATTCAGAGATTATGAGGGTTGGTGCCTAGATGATCCCATATCAATTTTATCAAATTCAATCAAGCACTTCTGCTTACGCACGCACAAATGTATTTTTTTGGATATGCCAACCAATATTTTAGAAACAGCTCATTCGATGTGGCTCAAAGTTGGATAAAAAGTAGTTATTTATGAACAAATAATTTAATAATAATAATACTTTATTTATTCTGGGACGAGTCCCTTTGGAATAATACAGCAAGACAGAAATGTGGGCTAAGGAGCCTCAGAGGTACATAAATAAAAATACAGAGTAATTGAACAGTCTTAGTGAAAAAAAAAACAAAAAAAAACATATATATATATATACATACACTGACAGGCAATTTTGACTTGATTTTTTCATCTAAAAATATTTCTGCTTTGGATTGGTCTATTGTTTTTAATGAATAAATAGGTAATGTTTTTGTTTGTTTTCAATTAGCAATGTTAATATAGAGGACAATAACCCTTAATCCTTAATTCAATGAAATGATTCTAGATTCCAATGTTTACTTTCTATGGAATCAAAATGTTTATTCAGTATCATTAGTTCAGTGTTGTTTCTTGCAGCACATTTCTTAGTCTCCGGCTTTTAATTTTTTCAATATTAAGTTTAAAAATGCCTCTTAGTGCTGAGGATGTTGCGCGTGGTGTGGCACTTATTGATGATGGACGTTCCATTAGATATGCAGCTAATGCCATCGGAGTTCCATATGAAACTTTACAAGACACTATCAGGCGTTTTCGGGAAACTGGTTCTTACAATAGAAGGCACGTTCTGGACGACCTAGGGTAACAGAACCACGGGATGACCGGTTTTTGACTTTGAGAATTTTATAAAACCGGCACCTTACCGTTGTTCAAGCGATTCATCAGCTCGAAGAAGTTCAAGGTGTGCAAATTCCTAAACGTACCGCTCGGAGAAGGTTAAATGAGTATGGATTAATGGCTTTTCGTCCAGTAAGAGGACCAAAACTCACAGAGTAACACGGCTGGCTTTTGCTAGAGAACACAGCCATTGGACTATGGACGAATGGAGTGCTGTACTTTTTACAGATGAGTCAAGATTCGCTCTTCGATCTCCAGACGGGCGTGAAAGAGTGTGGAGAAGAAGAAACGAAAGATATGCAGCCTGTAATTTTTCCCAGAGCCAAACTTTCCAACGTGGTTCCTTAATGGTGTGGGCTGGGATTTCAATGGAGCGCCGCACAGAATTGGTTGTTGTTCGTGGAGGGTCTTTGACGGTCATTCGCTATGTAGATGAGATTTTGGAACCTCATGTGTTGCCTATCCTTAACGAAATCGGCGATCGTTCTATTCTAATGCACGCCCACATGTCGCCCGCATAGTTCAGACGTTCCTTCAACAGAACAATATTGAGGTTTTAGCCTGGCCAGCACGTTCTCCAGATTTGAACCCCATTGAGCATTTATGGGATAACCTCGGAAGACGAATAAGAGCGCGTGCAAAATTTCCTGATGCACTGCAGAATCCTGAAAGGGCTCTTCGGGAGGAATGGGCTATCCTCCAGCAAAGGGACATTTCCCAACTGGTGGAAAGTATGCCGAGGCGTCTTCAAGAAGTAGTGAAGGCAAGAGGAGGAAACACGCGCTACTAAATGAAGATGTAATTAATTTCTTTTAGAATAATAATGGTTTGTTTTTCAATTTTTTTTTTCCTAATCTTTCTTACCCAATTACATTTTGATTATTAAAGGTAAAAAAGATTATAAAATTCCGTAAATACTAAGTATTATCTACAAATACCATGTATTATATACAAATACAACTTTACAGAAATATTTTTAGGTGAAAACATGGAAAAATCAAGTGGGTGGAATTTTTTGTCTGTCAGTGTATTACAAATGTGTGTGTGGACTAAATAATGACAAATTGTTATAATCAAATAAATAGATTTTAAGCACATTTATAGGCTAAGTAATAAATAATGTGTACCTAAGAGAAATAAATAGATAAAATTACATATATGTGCATCAATACATTGTTTAAACAAATGCATATTCATAGCTACAAAAGATGCATTAAAAAAAAAAAAAAAAAAAATAATTAAAACGATTTTTAGTGTTTATAGATTACATTCATTCATCTCAATATCCTTAGTACGATATTTGGTATTTTCAAACAAAAAAAGAAGATAGGTTTCATCCGATGGCGGGTATCAGGTCTGGGCTATGAGCAGCTTCCTTTGCCTTCAATTTATTCCGAAGGTACTCGTATTTTCTTAAAATTTTGCATCGCACTCACAATCCGTTCTCACTATATTCATGACAATTTTAGGATCGAATGGATGAGAAAAACTACACCAAAGAAGCATGTAACATGGACCCAATATTACTCCGTCACAGACACAGGCATAACTCACCAATTCCCAGGCTGGATTCGAACCAGCATCATTAGGCATGAGAATGCTACAACGGACAACACTTCAACACTCATCACACATCACAACTTAAAAAAAAAAAACCACTTGCCATCAGCCGGATTTAATCCAGGATCTTGAGCTTTGGAAATCAGTGATTACCCACTGAGCTACCTTCAATTCAGGTACCTCTCGCATGATAAGCGAGCACTCTACCATCTGAGCTATGCCCCTGATATCTGAAACTGTAGAGCTGTTTTAACAAACCAAGTCATCTGATGAAGGCTGTTAGAGGAGGCCCAGAATCGGTGACAGGTCGTAGGGCCCAATATGATGATCATGAGAAATGGTTGAATTGACCGACGATCAAATTTTGAATTATTTAAATTTTTTTTTCACAAAGAATTTTAAGAAAAAAAATATAAACATGATTTCCATGGTTGTTGACTTGGAATTGAGTTCCTTAAATTTCCAAATGATATTCTAATGAAAGTTGATCTTCACTCAGTTTTTTTGTTTACTGTTTAGATGAATAAAATGGAAATCATGTAGGCCGAAGATTACTAAAATATATTTAAAAAATAATAAAATATTTTTCTTTGATTTTATTATTTATTTTTGCATGATATAAGTGATTTATTGGCCTCATTCAACTTGCTCCAATTTGATCTTCCATACCATGCTAGTTAATATTCTGTTGTAATTGAAATATCAACAAAAAACTATTCCAATAAAGTTTCCTGCTGAACCAAGATGGCCACCAGTTCAGTATGCCTACACTGTCTTAGTAAATGTATCTCATATGCGAGTTGTATAGACTCTATGGAGAATCCTATAAGATTATTGCGATTTATAATATAGAATTAATTAAATCTGAGTCTAGATGGAAACTAATAATAATTTTCTTTTGAAATCTCGGAATAGTTATAATGAAATAGATCAAGGCTCAGGCATGAAGAACATGATCAGAAATATCTCTCTGCAAAAGGCTGGTGATCTGGTTATATCACTATCCATGCTATTATCAATTTCACACAAAACATGACAAATTACAGCAGAACATATTACTTTCTGAGTGATATTACATTAATAATGCAATTTATAGTAATATGCCTAGTGGCCATCTAGTAATTGCCAGCCCACCACAGACAGAGATCACAAATCACCATGACAGATCGCGCTATATGGGCCTGAGTCTTTAGGTTAGGTTAAATCCAAAACTATATTAAATAATAACATAAGGACTTAGCTATACTCCATAAAAGTACTGAAATCAAGACAATCCTAATATTACATATTTAAATTGAAAAAAATAATCTCAGAGCTTTTATGCATCAAATATTCACAATGTTAGTCAAATTTTGAAGCAATTTTGTTTAATGAGATTCTTATTGTAATAAGAAAAATAAAAGAAACTAATAAATATTATTCATTTCCTTTTAGAATATAAAATAGTTAATAAAGTATTACAGAAATAACTAACCTGAAGAAATTGAAGAATATCATCCATTCCAAGACTTATAAGCTTCTTCCGGTGTAATTTTAATAAATTATATGCCATTGCTGTTAAAATCCTTTCTCCTAATAATAAATAAACATCCCAAACCCTTAATGTCAATCTGAATGGTATCTGTAAGAAAAAATATTATTAGATTAGAGTTCTTCCACATTAAGTGGGTATAAAATGTCCTTTAGGTAAAAGTTTTGAAAAGTTCATTTGGCATTAAATTTTCAAAAAGCAGATTTAGAAAAATTATAAAAAAATAAATAAAAAATCTGGGGCAATGCATTACATCCACTTACCATCAGATTTTTGGTAAAAATAAATTATTTTAAAAGTTTATAAACTTAGAGAATATTACTTTAATTAAAATTATCAACTTAAGAAATTAATATAAATTATGACAACTCAATGCACTGTATATTTTTGGTTTATCAAGCTAGAAATAAATAAATCGTTAAAGTTTCCAAGAAGAGTTATGATGACTCTTATTATAAGAACAATGCTGATGAAAGAAAAAAAAGAAACCCAGGATAACAGGTGCTTGCACTACACTAACAGTGATAAGGCATTGTAAGGAAATTTATACTAATCTATCAAATCAAGCAAAATATTTTTTCACTTTCTTTTAGAATAAGCACCACCAGTTTCAATGGAACATTTGATTACATCAAATCGACAACATTTAACAAAAGAGAACCAATCCACACAGCAACTGTTTTGAGTAAGCTCAGATTGAAGTGAAATGGCATTGGAAAATTTGATAGCTTTAAAAAAGTATTGGGTTGGCAAATAAGCCCTTTCGTTTTTTCGGGGTGAAATAAAATCCAATGTATTATAGATATAAAATTTATTTTAATCTACAATATATTAACCATTATTCAATATGACTTTTTCCCATCTTTCCACGAACTGCATAATATCATATTCATAGAATGAATATGATATTATGCAGAATTTTTCATGACTAGAATGTCATAGAATTTAATATGACTTTTTCCCATCTATTTTTATATTACGTCCTTTATTCTATATGGAGGTCGTTTAAGAAGGTCTCTATTGTAAAAATTATATAGTTATTAAAATAGAACTTAATTCAAAAATACTTTGCTAAATATTTTCAATTTTTTAATTTAATGTTTACAATTTAACACTTAGTTTTGTACATTTACTGATTCTTAGAGGTAAGTTAAATTGTACATACTTTCCCGGAAATGAGTCATATTATTGGGTTGGCAAATAAGTTCTTTCGGTTTTTCAGAGTGAAATAATAAAACTCAATGTATTATAGACATAAAATTTAATTTAATCTACAATATATTAACCATTATTCAATATGACTTTTTCCCATCTTTCCACGAACTGCATAATATCATATTCATAGAATGTTTGGAGTTTATTGTTAAAACACTGTTCCAAGTGGTTTTTGATGTCCTCTTCCTTTTGGAATTTCTTTTTATCGGAAGTTCTGTAGAGACCGGAACAAGTGGTAGTCACTTGGAGCTAGGTCTGATGAATAGGGTGGGTGGGGCAAAAGGTTCCATCCAAGGCTCAACAATTTATTGCGAGTGACCAATGAGGTGTTGGGTCTAGCGTGGTCTTGGTGGAACAAAACATCCTTCTGTTCATTCATAACTCTTCAGGATCTGCTCCAAATTTGATATTACTACATCCGTTAGAAAGCTGAATTATTGCTCTTTAAAGCTGCATGGATGTTTTTTTTATTTAATGTCTAGATATGGAATAATTAAACAAAAACTCCTAGGTTTTTATTTTTAATCTCCATTTATAGTTTGCTCACAAAGGTCCTGTAGATATCATTTTGTGTATTTTATGTGACTCTAAACTTCTTGTAGATAGCTAAAGTCGTATTGAAGTTATAACATTTTTTGTGATTTTCGAAAAAAAAAATCATGAGAGGGACCCAAACATTAAGCCTGGAAACATAGCCGAGCTTGTACAAATTGTCTTCTATGCTTCTGCGCGACACATTTAGGGCCATACTGATTGGGTGGGATTTCGATCAACAATGGCCTTAACATTGCTCGTTTCAAATTCATGTGGGCGACCACATTGTTGAGCATCATTGATGTCACAATTTCCTGAATGAAATTCAGCAAATCAATTTTGACAGGTGAGTTCAATGAAGGTATCATCCCTATAAACATTACAAATTTTTCTATGACCTTCTGCAGCAAAATATGCCGATCATGAATGATATTTTCTTCCATATTCACAGTGCAATAGCAAACACAATACTAAGCTAGTTTCAACAAAAGTTAACAAATATACATGTTGACATATTACAAACAGGATGAACAATGAAGATACCTGAACCATGTGAAAGTTCTTTTCTGTTGAAAATAGTAAACACTAATCCCACTCCACCAGCTCATTTTTGGGATTGGTTCTCTTCTATTAAATCTTGTCCACTAGGACTATTTATAGCAAAAAGGAAACAAATTTATGACATGATATAGCAATTAAGAAGTAATTGACTGTTAAACTAGAGGAAAAACTTGAATTACAATTTTATAATATTGGCAAGAAAAATATGAGCAGGAAAATACATGAGGTAAAAAATAATAATTTAAAAATATGTGCCCATAAGGAAGTCAGTGAGTATGAGTAAGCTTTAAGTCACCTTCACTAATGAAAAATTTGGCTGATATTAAGCAGACTTTTCAATTTGAAGGTTTTACCTCAGGCCCGCAGTCTGGTTTTGTTTGAGGCACTCTGCTGGAATTTATAGTGGGGCCCCCTTATCAAGATTTTATATATATATATATATATATATATATATATATATATATATATATATATATATATATATATATATATATATACATATTGTCCTGTTAAGAAGGGCATATACATATGTGAACTTTTAAAAATATCGGTAGACTCATTCAATTTGAAGGTTTTACCTCAGGTCCGGAGTCTGGCTCCATTTGGGGCACTCGGCCTAGAGTTTATAGTGGATATATATATAAGTGGTTTCCAGGGATTTAAACATATAATAAATTTACAAGCCCTCAGAAGGGACTCCCAATCATTCTACAGTGATAAAAGGCCTCCTCCCTGGAGGCCCTCAGCAATCGCCGACTAGACAACCTGGTTATACCAAGCCTGATTTACCTGAATGGGCAGTCCACTGAACTATTTTACTGGCAGAATTAGGACTATTTGCTGTGGGTACTCAGGTATGACTGTTCTTAGTTTATCTAGTAATTGCACTTATGAACAAACATTTTAAAACTATGCTTGAGCTAATTTTTCTAAGGTAAAATCATGAAAATGAAAAATGAACCTCAACAGGTCATTTGTTAAAATAAAAGATTGCAAGTGTGATTCTTCGAAATTTGATAGCCCAAGGAATAGATAAAATATAATACACATAATTACAACCTTTTTATATTAGTTTCTATTTTAAAAACTTCAGTTGCTTTTTTCAACACTCTAGTTCTTAGTCCAATCAAGGGAGTGCACATTATCAATGATAGTGTTTGAAATATACAAAGAAAAATAATGACAATGTTATCATATTTAGAATATTTTTTTAAAAATTACCCTATCTAAGAAGCACTGAAAAAACCATTTCAAGGTATATATTCCTGTATCGACTCCATTTTTATCTAAATGCTTTTTAAGCTTTGGCAAAAATTTATTCATGATCTTATCATGGTGCTCTTGATACCGTAAAAGTTTAGGAAAACCAGGAATGAAAAATCCTAAAATTAAAACAAAAGATTACAAATATTATCATTACAAAGTCAACATCTATTTTAATCATGAAAAAAATAATGAACACAAAACATTAAGTATTACAGAAGTTGGTCATAGGAGTCACATACGTGAGCAGAACTTACATCTAATCATTACATACCTTGTAGACCTTTATGAGGGCTTAAAAGAACAAAATACAAAATAATAATCTTAAATTAGTACAAGATACAAAAAAATAACGTTAAATTGTTATAAGATACAGGTCTATTTGTAAGAGGTGAAAAATGACATGAGAAGGATGTTGAAATGCAAACAGTAATGAATGATACAGAAGTGACATTTAAATTGAAACAGAAAATGTAATGGAAGAAAGTTGATAAATATCATAAATATCAATGCTATATAAAATATGGTATAGATACCTTTACCGGCTCTCAGGAGCAATGGAATTTGATGAATGAAGTACCAAACAAAAGAGAATTTCATGAAAAAGTTGTTAGTACAACATATCAACATTAATTATTAATCAAATCTAACAATTAAGCCATCATTTTGAACATTATCTTCTCCTTCAGGAGGAAAACACAGTCACATTTCCCAAAAATTTAAGAGGAAAAGTTAATAAGCAAAAAAAATCATTATTTGCACATAACTCAAAAGGACAAATAAACTACACAAAATGATACAAACCAGACCTCCTCCCTTCTCTCCTGTAAACATATTAGAACTAGAGATATAAAATAAAACTGTTTCAGGAGATTTTTTATATTTATTCTATTATTTATTCATAAAGGCGTTAAATCTATAAGTTATTGTTACGCTTTTAAAGCGTAATAATTCAGCTTTCCAACAGTTGTAAATAAATTGGATTACGAGAAAATCCTGAGGAGCTACGAATGCTTTAATGAACAACAAGAAAAAAATTCTATAGAAAAGTGAAATAGTTTCTATGATAACCAGCTCAACACACCATTACTATTTTTATATATTATTTCATGCTTATTTAAGAGGCTAATAAATTATCGACAACATAAAAAAAAATAATAAAATAAACCAATAAGACAAAAAATTAAAATACCATAAGAAAATTTATTTAAAAAGTAAGAAAAATATACAAAAAATAGTATACACTAGTTTTGTATACTCAAAAATGAGAGTTCTCAGTAAGTCGATGAGATTGATAAAGGCATTTAAAAATGATCCTAAATGCTCTGAGTCCTAATAAAAGAAGATGAACTATCACCCATGTTGTTCAACTTAGTTCTGGAGAAGGTGATAAGAACATCACATAAAAATGGAGGGGTCCACGTTGGAATGAACCATAATATCCTTGGCTATGCAGATGATATAACTGTCCTTGGAAGTGATCAAGAAGACATTGAGAAACACGCTAAGACTCTGATAAGATCAGCAAAGCAAATCAGTCTACAGGTAAATGAACATAAAACAAAATATACAATAATAAGCTGAAAATTCCATTCCAATAACAGAATCTGCATAGAAAGGAATTCATTCCTGAGAGTAGAAGAATTCAATGAATGACCAACAGTCGGAAATGAAGACTAGCGTACAACAAGCGCAAACAAAGCTTTCTCCTCTCTTTCAAAGGAATTGAAATCTCAAATTAAGGGTGTACAATGCTATGATAAAGCCAGTTTTATTATGTCTGTGATGCCTAGACACTAAACAGAACTCTAGAAGAAAGTATTGAAAGATTTAAGAGAAAAATCCTCTGCACGATAACCAGAGCGATCTGGGATCAGAGTACTAATACATGAAGAAGAAAGACTAATAAAGAACAGTTTACAGAAACTAGTCAATCAATATCCCATGATATGAAGGCATAGAGATTAAGATGGGCAGGGTATGTAACTTGTAACAATCTATCTGGAAGCCTCTGCGTGACAATGAATGCCTCAATAGAAGGAAAAAGACCACATGGAAGGACAAAAAGCAGATGGATATATAGAATCAACACAAATGCAATAGAGCTGCGTGCAGATAGCTGGAAAGAAATAGCCAAAGAGCAGAAAGAAATAGACAGAGATGGAGCAGGCTTGTTAAGGCGGCAAAAGATCAATAAGGTCTGTAATGACAACAGAAAAAAACAAACAAATTGTAGTTGTAAGATTTTAACTATTGAAATCAGTATTCATCACTTCTCCATAAAATTTCCTTTCCTTGATACTTGACTCATCAAAATCCTTTGCTCCTGAGAGCCAGAAAATACTCCTGTATTGTTACTTGACTACTTAGGTTATGTGTTAGGGTAGTCCGCTAAAAGCTTTGTAACGCTATTTTGAGTGAACGGCTGGATCGAGTTTTAAGTTTGATGGTTTAAATTATTTGGTGAGATCTCCTGAGTGTCTTAATACAATTTGAGCTAAAAATACTGCACAGTGATTAAATAAAATGTGTTCAATCAATTTGCTTAATGACTGGTATCGAATTTTTGAGCAAATGGCTGAACAGATTTAAAAGTTTGATATCTTAAATTGTTCGGTGAGACTCCCTTTGTGAGTGTTTTGAGAGCAAAGCAATATGAGTGTTATGCCTTCTAAAAGAGGCATAACGAGTTTTCGAGTGAACTAATGAATAAATTTTTAATTTTGTTAGCTCAAAATATTCATTCAGATCCTATGAGTGTTTTGAAAAAAATTGAACTCAAAACGTTAGTTCATGATTGAATAAAATGGGTTTAATCAATTTTCTAAAAAATATCTAACAATTTTTGGAGCGAGCAAAATCTTTAATTTGATAAAACGGTCATTTTTTCTTTTTACACCCTATTAAATTAGGGAGACTAGTGGTGGAGAATAGTAGCTGGGATATTATACATGAGAGATTTTGGTGTAAAGATACAAACATTTATAATATATAAAGATAACAATCATGACAAATAATGATCAATGATTTTGTGAAAAAGAGAACTCCGCATAGTTTGGCCATTAAAAAGTCTCCTCTAAACAGTTTCAAACATTTATTATATTTGAAGTAAATTTTGTAAATTGAACTACTTTACAATGAAACTATTATTAATTGCCTAAATTAAATATTTTTTAGTTATCACTTCCTGTTCAACAAAAAATGTGACACTTAAAAAAACACAAAACTTAAATTTCTTGCTTTTCTGCAGAAAACCATGGTTTATAAGTGCTTTTTAGCTCTTCAAATATACTACCACCTTTTTAAATACTTACGATACCCTTTACTTATGATGCATCTTATATAATAGATAATATCAAAAAATATTTTCAAGCAACGAAACTATTGCAACAAGTACAACTGAAAAACCATGTTTTTAAAGTGCTTTTTTGTAGCTCTTGAGGTCTACTACCATCTCTTTAAAGATTTTCCGTTACTTACAATCAATCTTGTATAATAGATAATATTGAAAGATACTTTTAAGTAACAACACTATTGCAACAAGCAAAACCAGAAAACCATGATTTATAAGTTCTTTTTTTGTAACTCTTGAGGTCACTATCACCCCTGTAAGTATTCCCTTTTACTTGCAATACATCTTGTAAAATAGATAATATCAAAAAATATAAAAAGGGCCTACTTATTTTTGAAAGGAAAATCCTTCGCCGCATATTTGGTGCTGCGAGAGAGGTAACATTTGGAGAAGGAGAACGAATGCAGAAGTTTGTGGACTAGAGCCATAGATAGAGGATCAGATCTAATGATGTATGTAAGATAGGGCAGACTGTGTTATACTGGCCATATTGAACGAATGTCAATAAAAGAGATCCCAAGAAAGTAGCTGGACAAGACACTGTATGTGACCAGAGGAAGAGGTAGACCTCAATTAAGATGGGAGGATGAAGTAGCGAGGGATACCCAGGAGATACTGAGCACCTAGAACTGGTGGGAGGTTGCCAGGATAGATTGATCTAGCGAAGATTCATTGAGGAGGACAAAGATAGCACCGGTCTGTAGTGTAATAGAGTAGTAGCATAACCTGAAACTGATTTGCTTGAACTGTTGCTATTTGTCAATTTTTTATAGCCCTGGAGCTAAGGTCCAAAAATCGACTTCATCGCAGGCGAAGGTTTGATCGTAAATTACGATCAAACCTTCACCCAGGCTCCAGGGCTATTATTTTCACTTACCTACCTATATATGTAATATACAGTAAGGGAAAGTACTGCGATCGTGAAAATTTTCTAATCTGATTTATCAACGGAAATACACGATTTGAGGTCTGCTGAGTCCAATTAATCAAGACCCATAAAATTAAAGTGTGTGTGTGTCTGTGAACGGTCTTGCTCAAAAATGAAAAGTCATACAAAATTAATATTAAGATAGGTATATGCCTTACATATGACACCAACTTTTTACTTAAAATCAGCTATCCAGAAATTCCACTTTATATCAGCGATGAAACACATTTTTAGAATTATCTCAAAAACGGCTCTAACGATATTGATTAAACTCGGTGTATCATTATATAATTAAGTGGTCTTTAATATCATTCAGGTTTCATCCCCATTGATGTTACTTTACAGGGCTTAAATGCCCACTGAATGTTTATATACGTCTTCCTCTAAAGTATCTTTAATATGGTTTATTTAAAAAATTTAACAATCTTTTATTGACAGTAATTATAAAAAATGGTTAAATATGAAGTTTAAAGGAATATGATAATTGAAAACTGGAGAAAAATGTTTATCCAGGTTGAAAATGAATCTCCAGAAATAACAGTCAGAAGGTTGTCTAATATATATTAAGTAACATATATATATATAATATAACACATATATATATATATATATATATATATATATATATATATATATATATATATATATATATATATATATATATATATACGATATATAATACATCGTTGGTAAGTGGAGACTTTTAGAAAAAATAATATCAAATAAATGAAGTTGTAGAAGGTAACAGAGAGTGAAAAAAAAAATATATAAATAATTATTACAGAAAAATAACATTATTCAACATAAATCACATGTTTCCAAGGATATTAAAAGAAATT